TTTTGGAGAGTTTGCCCCATTCCAACCATATTTAATGATGTTGAAATTCACAGGATATTCCTACAAAAGATCTACACTGGGCTAAATACAAAATCTAATAATACTAACTTGAGTTCCAGATTTTGGAAATAAAAGCAAGAGAGAAAAAAAGGATCTTTCCTTGCCTCAACTTGCCTAAGAACAGGATAAAAGAGAATTCCCATTAAACCAAACAGTCCAATGTGGTAGAATTTCTAACAGTATAATCTAACGTGAAAGAAAAAATCAGGCAATGTGGGGAAAGAGGTTTTGACTTAAGGAATCCAGCTTAAAAGCAGCTAGTTCATGCTTAAGAGAGTGTCATCCTTGGTTTTCACAGCTTTTTCCTTCTTTCATTTCTGAGCTTATTGGTAATCTTAAAGCTCCATTTTTCTCACAGTGATTTCCAATAACTGAGCATTTTGGAAGTATGAAAAAAGAGAAAATCAAGATAGCTTTTGCTTAACATGAAATGTTATATCCTTTTAATCTTCAGTTTCTTTTGCTTTATATATTACAATTATTATAAAAGGAAATTTTAAAAGATGATAATCAGGCAGAGAGTTACTTCTGTGTCTAATTGCTAAAGAGCAGATACAACTAGAGAGAATATTTTAGCTAGTACACCTCTTTTTTGTACATCTGTGTCTTATTCTTGATTTCAAAAAGGCTATCCTGTTTCCTCAAAGGATTTCAGAGGTACAATTATTATGAAATACAGACATTCTGTATTGCACTTAACAGATTGGTATTTTTGAAGTTAAAAACTTACTTTAAAGATTCTCTGATTTAGGATATAAACCTAACACTATACAACTCATTTATTTAATCACTTGCTTCTTGAAAACTACTGTCTAAATCACTGTCACCTTTGCTTAAATGTTGTATACCCAATACAAAAATTCAGCTTTCCTATTTTCTTCTAAATGATAAATTATTTGGGAAAATATCTAAAATTCATTCTAAAGATCATTTCTTCAAATAAATCATCTACTTGGTCTTTATTAAACATTTTTCAAATTAAATATATTCATACTCTGTAGGTAAAAGTAACCAACAATATAGTTTTCACTGACATGCTTTAATCTCAGGTCATGCAGTTTCAAAAGAATCTTGTCTCTATAGTTAATAAAGTACAGCTCATTCTATTATAATAAGACAAACTTATAATTAGGGTCTGTCTGAATAGGGTCATGTATAAGAATGTAACTACATTTTTTTCTCCGAAATAAATACATACTCAGAGATTTGCCAACTCCCAGTATGAATATTAGCCTAACCTTTTCTGAAATACGATTATTTGGAATCAGAATAAGGAGTCTTGTTCTCCAGCACTTATTTCCTCTTGAATCTCACTCCTAACTTCAATGATGGGCAGCAGACAGACTTGATTTGATTACCTTTATAGAAATCAAGGGTGTTTACCTATGCGCAAGGTCCTCTGACATCTTAGCAATCATACGAAGTTCTGCTTTCACTTCTGCTCTTTGTAGAAGTCAGAAAGTTCTCGATCTTCTAATCTTTGCTCCAGGTTTTTACTATATGCAGGAATGATATATTCATCATTAAATCAGGATACCTGAGAGTGAAAGGGGGCACTAAAAATAATTAAAATGATATAATATTTGAAATATGCACTTATTAACTAATAAAGAAGTTCATCATATAAATAGACCTATAAAATCATTCTATTCAGACTGTTTTTCAAAAATAAAATTCTAATAAAGGCATAAACCTACACTGTCCACGAGAAATTGAAATGTTGGTAACACTATTAATATTTTACAAAATGAATGTAACATTAAATTGGGATCAAAAAGTATAGTCTGAAAGGGTTTAAACTTTAAGGGATTAAACTTTAAGGGATAGGCCTGAATTCCTCTATTACTTTATTCCTTGAAGCTTTATTTCTGGTTTAGCCACTGAAACTTTGATATACATATAAATTGAATTGTGTTTAGGTCTAAGCCTATTTCCCTACGCTATAAACATGAAATCACAGAATCATATTAACTTGAAAACTAAAAAGTCTACAACTGTGGATTACTATATTAAGGTATTAGTTTTAAAACATTGGTAATTTAACCTTGTAACTAAATTTGCTATATAATAACTAAGTAGTTCTCAAGAAAAGCTTTGATTTGATCATTGTCTTCAATGATTAAAGTCCATGATAATATTCCTTATAAAAATTGTATTAACTGTCGATAATTTGCTATAAAGTCTTGCTTCAATTATCACATTTTTGCTTACTGTATTATTTCAGAGCAAGAAATAACACCTCATTTTTATAGCACGTTAAAATCTACAAACTCTTCATACATATTATCTCATTTTGCCCACTTAATATATATGAGAAATAATCAGGCAACTTTTTATAAGAGAAGTGAGGCTTAGAAAGAATAATTGCCCAAAATGACATTCCTATTAAGTGGCAGAAGCCAGACTTTTGATTACTAATAAATTTCACCAGTAGGGAGGCAAGTAATTTCTAGAGAGTAGAGGAGCTGAGAGGAGAAGGAGAAGATCCTTAAAGAACACAAAACTTTTCGGAGATCATTTTTGTCCAATACAAGAGTTATGGACCACTTTTTGTTGAACCACTAAAATTATATACAAATTACATCTTAGACACAAAATGTCTATTCTAATCCCTTAAGCATCTGGGACTCAGGATCAGAAAATATTTCAATTCTAAAGTAAATTATGATAAACATGAAACTGTTTAATCATGCTTTTAGCTAGTAACTGAAGTATGAACAATTTCCTTAACCAAAACAGTGGGAACAGAATTTAATTTTTTAGACTGTTAATCAGAAATGTTCTTTAAAAGTGCTGTGTAGGGATCCCTGGGTGGCGCAGCGGTTTGGCGCCTGTCTTTGGCCCGGGGCGCGATACTGGAGACCCGGGATCAAATCCCACATCGGGCTCCCGGTGCATGGAGCCTGCTTCTCCCTCTGCCTGTGTCTGCCTCTCTCTCTCTCTGTGACTATCATAAGTAAAAAAAAAAGTGCTGTGTACTTCAGTATTCTGGGAAATACAAGATGAGAAGGGCCTTTCAAGTTATCTCTGAAAACTTAAAACCCTCTGATATCAACAGATACCTAGAGGTGGTGCCATTTATTCTATATTTTGAGAACATCACACATTTCCATGTATTATTGGAAGCATAAAGCCCACCAACAAAAACAAACCTTTCGCTGCTTTTCTTCTTCTTTCCATTCTTCTTGCTAGTAACTGCAGTATAGGCATTTATCAGTCTTTGTACAGACCCTCCATGTATTGTTTGCTATTTTGAGAAAGGGCTATTCTAGTTTTCTTTTTTTACATCCTAATACAGAGGCCAAACTCATGCCACTATTTATACTGATAAAATGTGTGATTCTAAGATAAATGCATAATTATCATAACTGCCTAGTAAAGTCTCCTTAGCTTAAAAGTTTTAACAGTGCCTATGGTTACATACAGCCACTGGAGTGGAGTGTAATGTCACTGGAGTGAATTTTCTCAAACACTGTTTTTGTTAACTATTTTTAACTTATATCTTATGTTTCTTTTCTGGTTAGATTATTTTGTACCTTCCCAAATTATCCTGAAGTGATGTGAATAAACTCTGTGTAACCCCACAATTTAAAAACACTTTTAACCTTAGAAGCATTTAGGTTTGATACGCCATAAAATTACCTATTGTTTTTATGACTTAATCCTGATAATTAACCTATTCTATAGCATTGGCAAGTTGTTACATTGTTAGGAGACATGCTCCGAGTCTTGCTAGGTCAGTGGAGTGACATCTGTGCCCATGTCACAGAAAGCACAATATATAATCAACCATGCCTCTTTAGAGAAATTTTACCTTTTATCTTAGAAGTTTTAGTTCATCTCCCCTAACTATGTAAGTTGCTTTTTAAGTTTTTAGAAGAAGTATTTGAACACTGGCATTAAATTTCTGTAGTCAGATTCAGGCTGGGCAACTGATTTAGCCTTCATACTACTTCTAAAGTTTTAATCAGCTTTATTAGATAAACTCAAGCTTGATTAATGCATTCTTCTCAAATCACAACATTCAGACACAGACAATTTAAAGCAGATAGAACAAAAGAGATTTTTAGGCAAATGAATTTGGCTAAACTCTGAGGCTCTGAAGTAGACATTTACTCATTATAAAAACATCTTAGCTGAAAGTTTCCTATTCTTAACTACCTTGAGCAAAGCAGTATCTTCTATCGTTATGCTCAGCAATGGATCAAATAAAAATCATCTGTTGGAACACAGAGTCTATTCATTGGATGTTTTACTTAACAGGACAAAATAGTATTATTAATATGAAAGCTTAATAATTCCAATTTTCTCTGGATAGTTGCTATCTCAATCATAAAATCTGACTAATTTTATATATTACTAAGTACATAAATCTCTTTGAAACATATCTTTACCAAAGTTCAGGGATGACAAAGTATAACCTAATAATTTAGAAATACCATTACATATGGCCATTCTCAGACCCTTTGTAGTTAGTCTTTGTTATAGCCCAAGAATACAACAGGTTTTAAGGTAGCCCACTATTTATAGTGGGAATTTCCTAAAGCACACCTCTCCTCAGAATAGAGGCCCAGTTAATAATATTTTCTAAAACTTTCCCTTAATTATAAAATAAGAGCCATTTAAAATGCATTAAAACCCTAATTTTCTTTAAATCTCTTAATAGGAACCAAGGTTATATTCTGTGAGAAGAAGCTTTTCTCAGCCTCCATCTGTAGGTTTGAAACCTCGATATTCTCGAAGCCCACTTTCATCCTAGAAAAGATTTCAGAGCAGAGGATTCAATTCTTACTCCATCTTCCTCTACTGATTCTGTTAAGTAGAGTCTTAGATAACTATTTTATCCAATAATAGAAAACAACTGGCCCCACGTGCAGTCTGGTAACAAATATGAGGGGTTTGGATGTGCCTAATGTAAGATGATTTAGCTTTTTTAAGCGCATTAAAGAAATCTTAGTAGCCAGAACATTGGAGGTGCAGGATAAAAATCATGGTTTCCTTTATTAATTTCACACACATTTAAATAACACACTTCTAACTTGTAACAAAGAGAACAAAGGTCATAACTCTATAAAGCAACAAATAACCTTGAGAAAGTTTGAAAAATTTTGTCATTATCTGGCTATCTTATGAACATGATAATGTAAATAAGCACTTAAAAACATTTTTGGTGTTTGGATTTTTCAGATTTATTCCAGATGTTTCATTATTTGTAGACATAACCACGGCATATACAGAATATACATAGCAACAGGCCGTTTGTTGTAATATAGCAAATTTTAAAAAACACTATCTTTCTGGGGAGATAATGGGATTCTAGCTTCCACATCATTTTGGCTTTGCTGTATTTAAGTTTGTATATACTTTACTTACATAAAATACTTTTTTATAAAACAAACTTTAGATTTACATTAGAAATTTTGACATATTAATACATGTAAAGATCATTTATATATATAATATCTGGAATTGTCATATTATGACTGTTTATTTTATACCAGTTACTACGACCAGAGTAGACACTGTTCTTAAACGTGCTTAAATAGATCTCTGTATCTATTCTGACCCTCTTTTGTCATTCACACCAAAAGTGTAAGGGTTCTTATAGCATCTCAGCAAGGGCTATAAGCATTCGTTGCATATATCATGTCAGATTCAATACATATTTTTTTCCTTTAACACTGTGACAATATCGTTATTCCTGTTTATCTTTTCATTCAGGTCTTAGCTTGTGAGCTTTCTAGGCTTTCAAAACGTTAACTTTGAATGAACTTAACCCATAACATTGTATTTCACCTTTTAAATACAAAGACGCTATGGCTACTCTTACATAAGTTTTTTATGATTAAGAAATGCAACACTTGGTTAAAATTTAAAAATGGCCATGCCAACTTTTCTTTAAATGCTGCCTGCTTAATGTATGTCCCAACTTTCTTCTGTAAAACATTATATTCCTTATATACAAGCCTGGATTAATAATAAAACAATTAAAAGTAAGATAAATAAGCAACATTTAAACTGACTACATGTAATTTTATCTAGCATTTATTGAAATTTGCACAATACTAGAAAAGAGTCTTATTTTTTTTGCTATTTTGATTTCATGTCTATTATAAAACCTAAAGCTAGTTTGCACTTCTGTTGAAAAGAGTAAGAATTATATATTAAAACCTTCTATAACATTAGGAAGATAACCCAATTATAAATTAATTTTTTTTATCTTGCCTCATAAAGAATAATGAATTGTCCATTGATGTATCTTCTTTTTGGGTATATTGCCAAAATGTTTCTGGGCTAAAATATCTATGTAGAGAAATAAAATGTAATAACATAGTTATATAAATTATTCTGGCACATCCTAAGACCACTCCAGCTATTGAGAATATTTTATTTTGCTACCTTTATTATGAAAGTAACATGCTATGTGTTAACGTCTAGTATTCTATAATTAGAGCCGTAGGCAAAAATATCATGAAACATTCTATTTAATACTCCACTTGTCTGGCATTTTCATTTTAATCCCATATTTGATATTCAGGCTTATTTGGTATATACCAAGGCATTATTTTTTCTAAAACTTTTGTAAGTTTCAAGAATCCAAGAGTAACTGCATTTTCCTTCAGAGTAAGATTTCTATTTGAAGTGTTTTTCTTAGCTAATTTATTTTAGGCAATTTTACACTTTACCAAAAGGTCATGATGCACTTTCACAGTACATTAATTCAACTCTATAAAGATGGGACTACTTTATTTTTCTCTCCAGATATAAATTACAGAAAAATGGAGATAATATGAAAGTCATTAATATACAACAACAACAAACCCCCAAAACTGTTATGCTTAAATTGTGATATCTGGCTCTTATTTTATAGGGAACTTAAGATACCAATAATAGCAAAAACAGCTGTAATAGGTTTTAAGAGGTAAATGTTCTAGCTTTTAACTACCAAGGTCCTTTTTTTGCTGCAAGTTAGGATATCAAAATGGACAGAGATATGGAGACTAAACCCTCATCTTTAGCCTCATAGATTCTGAAATGACCAATGATAATATATAAAGGAAATGCTTAATCAACACAAAAATATTACCAAAAAAGCATTTTTTTCCTTTGATGTTTTGGAGAAAACATCTAAAAGATAATAATTTTAAAGTATACATCAATAATTTGAGATGGTTTTAATAATTTCAGTGTGTTTCTTGCTAATCATATTTAAGATCTTTGTTTTTAACATGTCTAACTTTGGTACCAAAGCAAAGCAAATTATATAATATATCCACTTAAATATTTTTAGCAACACATAAAAGAAACTTTCTAAAATCTTTATTAGTATCCGATTATGCAAATTATTTTTAAAAGATACTAATATAAAGTAAATTATTCCTGTACTATCCAAATGCTGGCCATTAAGGTTAACCTTAGGATTATTTTATTTAGGCTATATACAACTGTTTGTGAGAACAGTTTTCAATTAAAATAACACATACATCCTAATGTCTGTGACAAAGGAAAAATGAAAATAAATTCAACAATCCTATGTTTACCAGTTAGATTTTCATGCCTGTGCCCTGTGTGTCTATCTTTAGAGAATTATTTAAAACTCTTGAGCTCAAACTTAACCTACCTTCACATATGAATATTTCAAACAGCTACCTCTACAGACTTACCAATGATGGGTTTTGATAACTTGGTTGACCTTGGTAGTCTCCTTCTCACCACTCTTGATGTTAGGCAGTAAGTTTTCGCTACTTTTCCTTTGCTTTTCTGAAATCAGGTTGATTTCCTAATTTTTACACTTAGCTATACACAGTTAGTTATACATTTATATTGGGTTTTGTGCCCCAGAATGGATAGCTCTACTTTTAGATGGTCTCCATAGATTATGGAAAAAGGAAGAAGTCCCATATATTCTCCTTAGGACAGAAAACTAATTTTATGACATCAGTTACATCCAAAAATATTTTACTTAAAATGTTATGAATTAACTACCTTCTAGAGGCTGATTTTTATGTGGGCAACATTTAAATAAAAATCTTTCTAGTTTGAGGATTAACTAATAATTATTTTTTAAAGCTAGGTTAGACAATGTCATAACAAACATAAACAATTTTTTCCTTAATATTTAGCAAAAAATACTCCTTGCATATTTTAAATGGTGTGAAAATCTAACCATCAGTTTTCGTGCAATGAACCATACATATTATCAATAATTCATTTCTGTGCTTAAAGTCTTCTCTATAATACCAAAATGGGCTTCTTATACGTTGTTACTTGATTTTTATTTAGTTACATTCCAGGGATGAGTTATAAAATGAAACTGAACTGAGGAATAAAAGGTTTACTTTTTAAAAATGTAGGGAGTTTCCAGCAAATAAGTTTTATAGAAATTTAAATATAAAAAGTTAATGCAGTAAATTCAGGATTGAAGATTCTTTGCTTAATGTGAAAGCCTTTGTAAACTGCTTTAGTAAGTAATTTTTTAAAGACAACCTAAAAAATGCTATATATTTTTTATAACACACCAGTGTGATTATATTAACAAGTCATATTCTACATGCAAAAAATACCAAAAAGGCACCCATCGTGCCTTGCTAACTTGGGACGTTGTAACTTGGATTTAAACCTAATTCTGAAGAAATTATTTAAAAAAAAAAAAAAAAAAAAGATGGAGGTGTTCTTGGCTCCCAAGTTAGCAAGGATTTTAATACTTTTTTATACATTTTTAAAAATACAATTTAAATGATAGCTTAGAGACCTATATTAAACATAGGTTTTATCACATTTCTTCAAGGTGTAGCCCATGTCCAACCTAATACCTACATTTCATTAAAAATGTAAAATATGACATTTTGTGCAGTTCCTAATAAAATCTCTAATTAGGGGGAATTAGAACATGCCTTGACTTGTGTATGAGATAACTAACCAGGAATTATTCAGTAGGTGGCCCATTAGCTAATGGGGTGATACTTGGCTTTGGTAATAACTAGAGTCAAAGGGCATTTAATCTGGTTTCTGCAGGCTTATTAGGAAACACGTTGTAAGAATACAGTAATAAATGTTCAGTAAATTCATAGAACTTAAAATTGTTAAATAGATGAGTCTTTTCGTAAGTTCATTTGTATTAAAACTAAAACTGTATGTATGAAATGAAAAAGTTTCAGTGTTTGTGAGCTCTAATAAAATTCTCTGGCTTTGTTACTATAATAGTCAATTGAAATAAAACTTGAATATTGATATGTTTTCATGTTTAGAGATTAATGTGTACTTACATTATTAGTAAAATAGTATTTTCAAAATACTTAGATTCAGAAATTTACAATAGTATACTTCCCTTTAGAGGAGAATTTTTGGATTCAAGAATTTGGAACAGTGCTCTGAAATAAAGTAATCTTAAGGAAAAAGAAAGAGAGACTATAGAGTTATTAAAATTTTAACAATTTATACCAGCACACATAAGTAGGCTTAGGATATAAAGGAAACTACTGAAAGCAAATGAGAAATATAACATATTTCATGATAAAGGTGTATTTTTTTTTAATTTCTGTTTTGGCACTCATCTATTTCATAATCTAGCAATCAAGAATAATTCCTCATTTTGAAACACTCATTGCTCTATTCCAATTAAGGGTTCTTACTTAGACTTTAGGTCTTCAGATCTTTGGTTCTGATTATATTGCTTCCTCTAACCCCATAATACAGTGCCCTTAGTATATACTCAGTGAGATGGATTGTGGTGTTAGTGCTGCAGCTCTGGCATCAAGTCTGAGTCTAGGCTCTTCTGTTTTACAAGCTATAACCTTAGCCAAATTACCTAATCTCCTGTGCCCCAACTTCTCATCAGCTAAGGAGAGAAAGAAAAATATTTCAGAGTTGATGGGAAAAGATGAGAGAACACAATCAAGGAACATAGAACCACTGGTTCTCTCCCTTCATCTTTATTACTGAACAATGAAAAAATCTGGCAAAATGATCATGGGCTTCTCCCCTTTTAATAATCCAAAGAGAGAAGATTTACTGAATAGGTATATTTGCTGGCATTTCTATTTAAAAAGCAAGTTGTTTTCACAGAGGCATATTTGGAAAAAGTCAAAGTTTTACAGTCATAAAACCATACCTGCGATAAGATTTTTATTTTTTTCTACACTTAACAGTAATCAGTGATACACTTGGTAGTAAGCAGTACAGACTGAAGTACTAACATCTAGTGTAAGTTTTTACTTTCTCATTGCCTGGTTTCTCTGAACTCATGAATGGCGATTTCATTTTTTTGCAGACTTGAACATTTCTTGTTATTTTCAATTTTACCCTTTTATACCTTTTGAGAATATGTTGTTAGATCATACAAGTTCCTAAGTGTTATAACCTGTTGGTGCATTACTCCTTTTATATTAAGTCTCGCTTTATCTTTAGTAATGGTTTTCCCTCAGTATAGACTGTCTACTAATATTACAATACCAGCTTTCTTTTGGTTTATTTACATGCCTGTTGTTTCTTCATGTCTCATTTTCTAAGTATATACCTTCTAAGTACATATAACTATTTAATTTAAACATTAAAAAACTAAGCATGAACATTGCTGTCTTTTGACAGAAGGTTCATTCTATGTTTATTACAATTCTGAAATATTTGTAATTATACTGTCTTATTATAGGTTTTCTTTGACCATATTTTTCATTTTTCTTTGCCCTTTTTTCTCCTTCCTGTCTTATGTTGGATTGAGTTTTAACATTTCTTTTTATCTGGCTTGAAAGAAACACATTCTATTTGTACTGTTTTAGTGATTTAACCCAAAGTGTATAACATTCTTATTAACTTTATATTTTTAGTATTTATAATTTTTAACCAAAAGATTCTTCTAGGCTAGTTCAAAGGAAGCCAAATTACTGAAATTATCTTAATGTTTTCTAAACTAAAAGTTATTACACTTTTTAAAATATTTTAATCAAGAAAAAATGTGTAATTGGTCATATTTTTATGGACTCTACTAAGAACAAATTCTAATCTTTAACAGTCAATCATAAACTAATTTTTGAAGGCTCATCTTCATCTTAAATCCCACAAACCAGTGACTGTCAACTAATGAAGAGTACATGCACAAGGCATGGCCTTAGGAATGGTATATAAGGAGAACAGTACCATTTTCTCCATACTGTACACTAAGAAAGGTGGCATCATCCACTTCAGTTATTCCTAGAGCTGTCCCTCCGGCTTACCCAGTGAGTCTTCCAGGTCCTCTGCAGATGTTTCATCCAAAAATCCTTCATGACTTGAAGACAGGGCTCACCTTTCCTTGGAGCTATAATTTTCTTCTTGTAGATGGTGCACTTGGTTTCCTGAAACATCCTGACATCTCATACCTTCCTGTTAAGTGAGGAGCTGTAGACTTTAAATAATCTATGGTGAGTAATCTGTGCTATCAACCAAATGGTGAAATTCAATTAATAGCCAAGGACAGAACTTCTGTACTTCTGTCTCACCTTACTTTGACAGTCTAAGTATGGCTAAAATTCTCAATAGCTATTCTTTTTTTTTAAAATATTTATTCATTAAAGAGACAGGGGGAGAGAGAGAGAGGTAGAGACAGAGGGAGAAGCAGGCTCCCCATGGAGCAGGGAACCCCATGCAGGACTCGATCCCAGGACCCTGGGATCACAACCTGAGCCAAAGGCAGACACTTAACCTTTCTGTCAAAGGATCCACAATATGTCCTCTCTGAGAAGCACATGTACTCCAGTTTTAAGTTTCATCTATCCTCCACTTGCCATTCCTAAACTGCTGGATCAAATTGAACATATCAACTAAGTAGCCAAAGGTTATTTGCTTTACCTCTCCTGCCTCCAACAGTGAATCCAACTGGTTCACCTTCTACTGAGTAACTCAGATCCACACTTCCTCACTTCAAAGTATCTGGTCTTTTATGTTAATTATGCCCTGTCCTCTTTGATACTTCTATTTTCTTGTGCCCTTGGGTAACATAAATATTCTGGTAGCCAGGTAAATGTCTGTACAAATGACAGTCTGCACAAAGATACTCCATTACACCCAGCAAGCCAAGGTCCAGTGTATTGACCAGCACTAGACCATAGGAAAGAACATTCAAGTGGAAGAGTGTCTCTCCTTTCATGATAAGTTCAGTAAGACTGCTATAAGAGCACTTCAAAGGCAGAGGTTATTATCATTCCACTGGTTTTCCAAGTCTGTTTTTGTTCATTCGCGTAAACACATCTCATCTCTTTCACCACTCTGCTCTATCCAGCCCTAGCAGATACTATTCTCCCTTCTAGGCCTAAGTAATCAGCCCTACTAATCCCAGCAGATAACTAGAATATGTCATGTGGAAAGCCCAGGATTCCATTATGAAGAATAAGGAAGGTCTGAAGGAACATTTGTTGAAATGGTCCTTCCCCTTTAGAATGCCTTCAAGGATTCTTTCCTAAGCAATGTTCCCAAGCAGTGTTTCCAAGCAACAGTGTGGTTGTGCTCTCACCACATTGATTAATGAAAAGAAACTGGAGCTGAATAGTAGCACCTAGAATAAATATGGGGGAACTACCAGCACAATAGTTTACCTCATAATAAGCCCTCTCTGCTAGCTACCATGCTTAAAGTGGATATTTCAAGGCAAGTTCTCCTTTTAAACTCTGGCCTACCTGTCCAATTACCTATGACATATAATGCTGGCTTATTGTGTTGTAGTCATTGTATAAATTGATACCGTAACATCTCTCTGTGATGTTCTCTCATGGAGCCTTGGAGAGATCCCTAAATCCAGTTTGAGATTCCTGGAGCATTGATCATTTCCTCCCTTCACCATCACCTTCAACAAATTCAACAGAACAGATCTAAATAAGGTACTCAAAAACTTTTAAACTTTAATAACTTAAGAAAGCAAAAAAAAAAAAAAAAAGTAAAAAGTACTTGAAAGTAAATGTATTAACATTTATAACTATTCACACAATGTCTGTCTTGTATCATAGATTCTGATTGACCAAAAGAAATTATAAAAAGTAAATTCTGTATGTGGTGACATAATTATAACTAAGAAATAAAAAAAATATAACCACTCTGAACTATTTACAGATTTCTTAAGTCGTATGTGTAAACTTAATGTTACTAAAGTTTAAAATTTTTAACATGCCAACTACCTCGAGAGCTTTATAATTTATCACAGATGGTCCAAACAAATTTGGTAAGTTTACTTATTAGATTACTAAATATTAATAAAGGATATGTCCTTTTTCAGTAGTGATCTTTTTATTGCTTTGTGTGAAACTGCAGTGGCTACAGTTATCCCTTATTTTAAGAAAAGCAATAAAAATTTTTCTCTAAATTTAAATTCTGCATAATTAGAAAGCAGAAAACTGATTTATTCTAAATATTCTGAAAGGTCATTGTCAAGTAATTATTTGAGACTTTAGAGCCATCTACTGGTTGACGTATAATGTTAAAAAGCACAACTATTAGACTATTAACAAAGTACAGAGTTACAGTTTTAAGAACTGAAAATACGAACATGGGCAAAAACCATCTAGTTGAGGACAATGGCTTTTAAAGGTTTAATAAAAAAAAATCTCTTTTTAATAGGAAACCCAATATACATAACAAAATTGTACTCTGTACAATTGTACTCTGTAAAAGCTGAGGTAGGGGAGCCTCCAACCCCCACTCTCCACTAACTTGCCCAGCAGAGGCCAGGCCAATGAAAAGCCATAAGAGGTAGTCTGGGCAAATAACATTAACTGTGGCTTGGAAGGAGGCACAATGAGAAGGAATAGTATCAGCAAAGTTGTCTCTTCCCCATCTTTACCTTGGAGACATCTTAGAGACATTGGTGTGCAAAGGATAGTGGTTAATGGGTACAGAAAACTGAAGAGTAGGGGGGTAGGCACCTGAAAGGTGACAAACCTCTTTTCACAGGGACATGGTTTATGTGCTCATATGATGCAACACTTTAGGAAACATTAGTATAACTTTCCTGAAAATGCAAAATAAGAAACACATTTGCTTTTTTATCACAAGCCAATTAAGAACTAAGTTTCTAGGTCCGATGGGCTTTTACTAGCCAGGCCCTGGACTGGTCTAGTCTTGGAAACAAAAGCCCAGTTTCAGGTCCCAGCCTCCTCCCTTCAAAAGGACATGGATATCCAAAGAATCGAGGCAAGAAAAAGAGCTCTCCAAGGCCCCTCTCTGTGGCAGAGACTCCCAACCTGGATAGCAGCTTGTCAGCTAGGCTTGGGGTGACAGGCTGGAGCAAAGTTCCAAAGACTCGTAAACATTCCAAGGCCACATGAAGCACGGTACCCAGCCAGGGGGCATCCACTGGACTCTCCCAGCTCAACTTCCATGGTGCGTGCCTTTGGACAAAGCCGTTAGTTTGCCGGACACAGCTGGACACGGCCTCCAGAGCCTTATAGATCTGAAAGTTATCGTAATGCTCGGCTACCTGCCTGGGCAAGGTGGCCACTGCGTTCACCAAGGCGTAGTCCTCAGCCTGAGCGCGAGCCGATGGCCCCGCCACCCCTGGCGCAGGGGGAAAGCAGTTGGCGCAGAAAACCGGGTAGGTCCCGGAAGGATTTATTCTGTTGGCAGTGCAACGATTCAGGAGGCCTCCCAGAGCATCTGCCAGCTCTGAATCTAGCAATTTAACCACCTTTTCATCATAGTAATCACAGTCCCAGTTGGGGACGCCCTGCCGAAGAAGAAAGTATCGGAAGCCATCCACAGTATAGCGATCGAGGCAAGTCCTGGGATCCACCACGTTACCCAAGCTTTTGGACATCTTTTGGCCACAGACCGTCCAGTGGGAGTGGACGTAGATGCGATGAGGTGGGCTCATGCCGGCGCCTAAGAGGAGCGCAGGCCAATAGATAGCATGGAATTTGAGAATGTCCTTGCCTATGATATGAGAGGTGGCTGGCCACCAAGCTCTGAACTCCGCGTTCGGGTAGCCAATTACGGTAAGGTAGTTGACCAGGGCATCCAGCCACACGTAGATGGTCTGCGAATCGTCCCCGGGCACGGGAATGCCCCAGTGCAAGTGGCTGCTCCTTCGAGAGACCGACAGGTCCGGCAGCTCCTCCTCCAGCCACTGAAGAACTGCGAGACGAAACGGCTCGGGAGTGACTGCCTGCGGGTCGTCCCGCAGCCAGCGCCGAAGCGGCTCTCGGAACTGGGAAAGCCTGAAAATGTAGTTTTCTTCCTTGGTCCAGGATACGGGATGCCCACTCTCCAGAGACACAGGACACGCATTCCCCGACGGGCCCGGCTGCCGGGTGACCTTGGCCTCGGGCAGGAAGCACTCTTCGGAGGCGCAATACCAGCCCTCATAGAGCCCCTTGTAAAGCAGACCCCGGGCCTCCAGCAAGCCCCAGAAGTGCTGCACGGCGACCCGGTGCCGGGCCTCGGTGGTGCGGACGAAGTCGGTGGAGGAGACGCCAGCGTCCCGGAAAAGCTGCTGGAACTGGGCAGACACTCGGTCGCAAAGCTCGGCGGGGGCCAGGCCCGCGGCGGCCGCTGCCTGTTGAATCTTCAAGCCGTGCTCGTCGGTGCCAGTGGAGAATCGCGTGGCGGCCGCGCTGGGGACTCGCAGGCGACGGTGGCGGCACAGGGCGTCCGCCAGCAGCGCGGAGTACAGGTGTCCGATGTGTGGCGCCGCGTTCACGTAGAAAATGGGTGTCGTGAAGAAGGCCCGGGCGCCAGGGGCATCGTCGCGCACACCGAGAGGGCCCGAGCTGCAGTGGCGCGGGCCAGAGGGCCCCGGGACCGAGACCCCACTCGCCCGCCGGCGGCGGAGCAGCCGCAGGGCACGAACGCGCAGCATGATGCCGGCGGGGCCGCGGCGGCGGAGGCGGCGTGCGGGGCGCACGTGTGAGGGGCGCATGCGCAGCCGGGGCGCGCGGCCGCTTCCGGTCGGCGGGCCAGCCAATGAGGCGGGGCGTTCGGCGTGTGCGCGCGGGCGCGGGCGCGGGCGCGGGCGGGAGCGTCTCGGAGCGCTCGGGGGGGGGGGGGGGGGGAGCGCCGCGGGCGGGAGAGGCCGGGAGTGCCGCCGAGGCTTCCGCAGCGCCCTTTGCGCCCTGCTTTGGGGTGAGGATTTGTGTCTGTGTTTTCCTCCGTCGGCCGACTGGGGTGAGGGGTGAGGCGGGGATACGCTCTGCAGGCGCCCCGGTCGGCGTGGGGTCGGAAGCCGTGGATCCGGGGGCGGGGGAGCGAGGAAAAGTAATGACCTACCGCGCTCGAGGGCAGACTAAGAACCGGCCGAGTAAGGGAGGTGTTCTCTCCGAATACAATTTTTGGTGAATCGGTGAAGGAGGTACCTGTGTTACGTGTCGAGTCAGAGCCAGAGAGGGGAAGTGCCGCGAGCGAGCTGTCACGGACGAGGGGGAATCCGCCTTCGACTCCACTGCCCCAAGGACTCGTTAGTGATTGTCCTCTCAGGTGGTCTCGCAGTTCTCCTGCAGGTTTCTCACGTTTGCTTTTAGTGATGGAACCCGGGCTCTGCCGGGGCGGATGCATCCGGAGCCCAGAATTGGATTACTATTAATCTGAGGTTCGGGAAACACTCTCCTGTTTGGTCTATGATCGCCCATCCTTTTCTTTTTTCTTTTTTCTTTTTTTTTTCATTGAAATACTGTGTTCACTTAATGATGAAAATGCAGTGCGATACCTGTGAACCTGCAACCCGACCTAACAACTAGAAGTGGTTCCCTAACTGTGATTCCACGAGAGCAACATTAGCAGCACCTGGGACCTTGTTAGAGATGCACATTCTTAGGCCTCAGGCCCCCACCTACGCTGAGTTTGGGGCTCGGCGATCCAGGTCTTAGTGAGCTCTGCAGGTGATGGCGAGAAGTGTGAGAACCACTGAACTAGATGACCAGTGACTTCCATCTATGTGCTCCTTTTCTTTTTTAAAGATTTTATTTATTTATTCATGAGACACAGAGAGAGGGGCAGAGACACAGGCAGACGGAGAAGCAGGCTCCGGGGTCACGCCCTGGGCTGAAGGGGGCGCTAAACCGCTGAGCCACCCGGGCTGCCCTGTGCTCCTTTTCTCCTTGCAGACCTTCTAGAAGTCATCATTGTCCTAAATTCTGTACTTTTTGTATTTGTGTTATCACATATATAATATGTCTAAGCAACATATTGTTTAAAAAAAGGATATCCTGCTACATGTGATCTTCTTCCACCAACCATTTTCACTCAACATTTTGTTACTAAGATTCATCCATGTTTCTTTTTGTAAGTCTAGTTACTTCATTCTGACTACTGAATAATAATCATCTATGAATGGAAGTATTTGGTAAGTTGGATCTGACTTCTCTGGTGATATGGAAAGTAGAGCAATCCAATTCTCTATATAAGTCACAATAGGTATAGCAAATAGTCTTTGAGTGTTTAATTGATATGCTCTATTTGACCCAGCAGTTTAAGAAGGGAAAGTGAAGAATAGGTAAAGCTGAAAACTGGAGGGTATGTACAGCACCCTCCAGATAGACAAATCCAGGCTAAAAGTCTAAGAAGTTTTCTGGTAACTCTCCAAACACCCCCACCTCCTTTCCATGGAGTCAATTCTTAGCATACAAATATGCTAGCTTTTCTCCTGTACCCACTGCTGCTCCATTATTTTTCTTTTCTTTATAGCAGATTCCTTGAAAGAAATGGCTATCGATGGACATCTGAGTGGTTCAAGTTGTTTGCTCTTATAAACAGTTCTACTGGGGATCCCTGGGTGGCTCAGAGGTTTGGCGCCTGCCTTTGGCCCAGGGCGCAGTCCTGGAGACCTGGGATCCAGTCCTGCGTTGCACTCCTGGCATGAAGCCTGCATCTCTCTCTGCCTGTGACTGTGCCCCTCTCTATCATGAATAAATAAATAAAATCTTTTTTAAAATATATAACTAAACAGTACTACTATTAACTTTCTTATAAATCTCCCGGTACTTACATGCTGAAGTTTCTCTAGGTATATATCTAGGAATGATATTGCTGGATCATAGAGGATATGAAAGTTCAATTTCACAAGATAATGCTAAGTTGTTTTCCAACATGGTTAAATTTACATCCCCATCAGGAACATACCATTGAAGAGGTCTTTCCAATACTTGATATTAGCTACTTCTTAATTTTTGGCCAGTTAAATAAGTATAAAATATTATCTCACTAATGTTCATAGAAACATTATGCACAATTGCTAAAAAATGGAAATACCCCAAACATCAATTATCTGAGGAATGAATAAATACGGTATATCCGTATAATAGAATGTTATTCAGCCATAAAAAGGAATGAATTACTGATAAATGCTATCATGCAGGTAAATTTTAAAATGTTAAAAAAGGGGGGGGGGCAGCTGGGTGGCTCAGCGGTTGAGAGTCTGCTTCCAGCTCAGGGCGTGATCCTGGAATCAAGTCCACATCAGGCTCCCTGCATGGAGCCTGCTTCTCCCTCTGCCTGTGTCTCTGCCTCTCCCTTTCCGTGTCTTTCATGAAAATAAATAATAATAAATAAATAAATAAAATCTTTTAAAAAATAAAATAAAATGTTAAAAAAAAAACTTTAAAGTGTTATGCTGAATAAAAGAGACCAGGCACAAAAGACTGTATATTGCAGATTCCATTTATATGAAACATCCAGAATAGACAAATGCATAGAGATAGAAAGGAGATTAGTAGATACCAGGAGCTGGGGGAAAGTTGGAATGGAGATTGAATGCTTAAAGGTTATGGGGTTTTGGGGGTGATGAAAGAGATCTGGAACTAGATAGTGATGACCATTATACAATATTGTGAATGTACTTAATGCCATTGAATTGTACACTTGAAAATGGCTAAAATGGGGCGGCCCAGGTGGCTCAGGGGTTTAGCGCCACCTTCAGCCGAAGGCCTGATCCTGGAGACCCAGGATCAAGTCCCATGTCAGGCTCCCTGCATGGGGCCTGCTTCTCCCTTGACTGTGTCTGCCTCTCTCTGTGTCTCTCATGAATAAATAAATAAAATATTTTTTTAAAAAAAACAGCTAAAATGATAAATTTTATGTGTATCTTACTACAATACAGTGTTATCTCACTGTGGTCTTAATTTGCAGTTATCTACATAGAAGTGAGGTTAAGCATCTCTGTGTGTGTTTATTAACTATATAAATTTCTTTGTGAAGCGCCTATTTGTATTTTGTGTATGTTTTTCTATTGACGTGGCTTTTTCTTTATTTTCAGAAGGTTTTTATATATTCTTGATGCTCTTCCTTTATTGGTTGATATTTTACAAATATCATGTACCAAACTGTATCTTGTCTCTTCACATTAAACTTCTTAATGAGCAGAAGTTGTTGATTTTAATAGAGTAGAATTTATCAAAATTTATCTTAGGGACGCCTGGGTGGTTGAGCATCTGCCTTTGGCTCGGGGTGTAGTTCCAGGGTCCTGGGATCGAGTCCCACATCGGCCTCCCCTTCAGAAGCCTGTTTCTCTCTCTGCCTATGTCTCTGCCTCTCTGTGTGTCTCTCTTGAATGAATAGATGGAATCTTTTTTTAAAAATTATCTTGTTATTGTCATTTTATGATTAATCATTATGACTATTTTTCTGATTATCTCTTTGCTTTAGAAATACCTTTTAGTACTCTGATGTCAAAATAAATATCCATATTTTCATATGAAAACGTAAAGTTTTTGGTTTTGATGTTTAAATACTTCATGTGGAATTGAAATTTTTATGTATGATACAAGGTGGGGATCCAATTTCATCCCCATATAGATGATCAACTGTCCCAGCTCCATTTCTCCATTGATTTGCCATGCCACTTCCATCATATATTAAATTTCCACATATGCAGGCTTTTGTTTCTAGGATCTTCATTCTGTTATATTGGTTAATTTGTCTATGCCTTGCTAAAACAGATTTAATTACTACAGCTCTATAATAAATATTAATATAAAGTCTTAATATCTCCTCATTCTTCTTCAGAAGTAGCTTAGGGATGGCTGGGTGGCTCAGTCATAAAGCATCTGACTCTAGATTTCAACTCAGGTCATGATCTCAGGGTCTTGAGATTGAGCCCTGCATCCAGCTCCACGCTGAGATTCTCTCTCCCTCTCCCTATGCTCCTTCCCCTGCTCATGTTCTATACAGAAAGGGAAGAGAGAGAGAGAGAGAGAGAGAGAGAGAGAGAGAGAGAAAAGAAGGAAGGAAGGAAGGAAGGAAGGAAGGAAGGAAGGAAGGAAGGAAGGAAGGAGAGGGAGAAAGAGAAAGAAAGAAGAAAGAAAGAAAAGGAAGAAAAAGAAAGGAAAGTCTTAGACATTCTTGGCCTTTTTATCTTCCACATAAATATTAAAATCAACTTGAGAGATTCCATACAAAAAGACTTGTTTGGGCTTAGGTCACCATTGCATTAAATCTATAGTCAACAACAGGTGTCAAGGGCTAACTAGAGAGATAATTACAATATTAAGTATTCCTAAAAAGGACTATGTATCATGTATCTCTCTCCATTTACCTGCCTCCTTTAATGCTGTTCAGTAGTTTTATAATTTTATACATACAAGCCTGGCTTATTTATATTCAATAGACTTATGTCTGGAAACTACATAGTTTATTGATAATGCAAATGGCATCCTTTTCTGAAAAGTATGGGGGTTTAATTGTTTCTTATGGGTATATGAAATTGATGAAACTGATGAAGGCTAAACTACTCTGTTTGAAAAAGAGTGGTATATGGTGGACCCAGAACCCTGCCTGCTTGTTCTCCCCTCATGATCAAAGCTCTCTTCACCAAAACTGGCACTTCTTTGAAAACAGAGGGCTCTGCCTTACATTGAAAACTGATCTAAAAGAATTGTTAAGAATATTCAATAAGGAACACCTGGGTGACTCAGTTAAGCATCTGACTTTGATTCAGATC